TCCCTCAGCCGTTCCCTTCCTCCGAGCTGTGCTCACAGCCTCTCTGTCCCCTTCCCCAGGAGAACATGGCTGGCAAGGGCTTCTCTTTCTGGGTCTGGCTGGACAACATCATTGACTTGGTGAAAAAGTACATCCTGGCGCTGTGGAATGAAGGGTGAGCCTGGGGCAGCGTCCCTCCGCAGACCCTCGGTTGGGCTGGGCCTTGGGAGGGGTCCCAGGAGTCCTGTCACAGAATCAGGGAATGGTTTGGGTTGGGAGGGACCTTAAAGCCCACCCAGCCCCACCCCCTGCCATGGGCAGGGACACCTTCCGCCAGACCAGGTTGCTCCAAGCCTCATCCAGCCTGGCCTGGGACACTTCCAGGGATGAACGCTGTCCTGGTGGAGTGGGTGGGTGCTCTGGGGATGCAGCCGCGTTGGCTGGTTCAGATTAAACCCCTCCCTGGCTCCTGGAGTCCCTAAACTCAGCGGGCTCTGCCGGCAGTGAGACCCTGACTCTGCAGAGAGCTGGCAGGGCTCACATCCCGGGAGAGCTGCCCCGGGATCCTGACCCACCCTCGCTTCCCGCTCCCAGGTACATCATGGGGTTCATCAGCAAGGAGCGGGAGCGAGCCATCCTGAGCACCAAGCCCCCGGGCACCTTCCTGCTGCGCTTCAGCGAGAGCAGCAAGGAGGGCGGCATCACCTTCACGTGGGTGGAGAAGGACATCAGCGGTGCGTTGCTCTCCCTCGCTGCCCGGGGGGCGGGGGGGGCGTTGCTCAGCCACTGTCCCGGCTCCGAAAGGGGCTTGGAGCCCCTTGGACCCTTGTCCCTGTCCCAACAAGCCCTCTCCTTTGGTGAAGTCCTTGAGCCTGGGTGCCCTTCGCTGGTCTCTGCCTCCCGGCTGCCCCTGCACTGCCTGTATGGCACAGTTTTCCACGGTTTCCCGTTCTTCCATGGCACTGAACCCAGCTGGCAGGTCTCCACCCTGTGCCGTGCTCTGCTGGTGCCTCCCGAGGCCCAGCCCCAGGCCCGTCCCGTCCCGGGGTGCTTGGGGAAGCCCGTTCCCGAGGGTTGTCAAGGGTCTCCTCGTGCAGGGAAGACGCAGATCCAGTCGGTGGAGCCGTACACCAAGCAGCAGCTGAACAACATGTCATTCGCGGAGATCATCATGGGCTACAAAATCATGGATGCCACCAACATCCTGGTGTCCCCCCTGGTGTACCTGTACCCCGACATCCCCAAGGAGGAGGCGTTCGGGAAGTACTGCCGCTCCGAGAGCCAGGAGCACTCGGAAGCTACCGACTCAGGTAGTTGTTGACTTTCTGCGCTCTAGCACCTCTCCTGTGGCACAGGGAGGTTCCAGGGATGGCTCCGGTGGGAGAGCTGGCCTCAGCCAGGATCGTGGACGGGACCCCAGGGGACATAGCCACGGCACGGGGCTGGGGC